TTTATAATCGTTGTTATGACATTATGCCCCTGTACTGATGACAAAAAAAGCTATCAATTTTAAAATGACTTGTATACTGGCAGAACACAGAGAAGCGGCACTTTTTCTAAAACGCTTTCACGTCGCCATACAAGTGATAATTCATGCTCAATAATGAGCCTTTGCCGTGTGACTAACTAGAATGTTATGCTAAACAAAAAGAACACTAATTCTTCCTAAATCACAAGATCTGGTAAATATGTTCCTCATTCACTGAATAATAATGAATGTATTATATTTAGTTTCAGGCATTTGATTCCTATCTTTTAAACAAAATGCCTTTTACATTTCTGGCTGCATGCAGAGCCAAATGCTGTAGGTGCACGACTCGTCCCAAAAAGAGCCCAGTGGAAGCCAGGTCGCTACACAAAGCTGTAGAGGGAAAGACGGTAATTTTGGAAGCTATGTTGTACAAAGGGGGTTGGAATCCCAATTATTACTTTCCAAAAGGGTAACCTTATACAGTAGATAGTTTAAGTTTAAGATAAGCACTTCTCAGTAAAGAATATAAATTGATTCCCATTAATTTCAATTAATAGCACACCTAAATATATAAAGACAGGAGCCACTGTAATACATAAAGGTGGTGGCAAAGGAAGATAATCTATATCTGCTCATTGCACTTAGGAGGAAAGGGATATTTAGCACAAAAAGGAACAGCAAAGAATAAACAGTCAGCAACCAGAGCTCTGCGATTTATCTTGAAGGTAAGAAGTGTGATTCACAGATCTTGAAGGTAAGAAGTGTGATTCACAGCAAGTCATTGCTGATTACACACCATTATTGCCAATGGGCATTAATTATGAATGTGACAGTATTTTAACAACAAAGTCTATACCTTTGTTACATGTTTGATTGAACCAATTATTAGGTTTCTTCGACGATGTTTCATGCCTGGAAGATCCCAAAGGTGATCGAGGACAGTTTCTCCTTCTTCTAGTACATATTTCCGACCCTGGAACTTTGGTTTCTCATAAAATATCCAGCTGTAATAATGAAATCATCAACTGAATTGTTGCTGTTCGGTAAAACTGTCCTCATACAACACACTTGCTGGGAATTCAGTAAAGAGCTCCTCTAACCAAGCCAACTGTCAGTCCTTTCTTACACCCTCCCTCAGTAGTCACGTTCATTTTGGATAAATATGGGGCTGGTCCTTTATTTCGATCCCTTAAAAATAAAATGCACATTTCTTTTCCTCCAGGATGGAAACTAACATAACTTAAAACGTTAATTGTATAAATATAGCTTAAAAACACATGCAAATTAAAAGCCTTTTTTTACTAGAACAACTATATTAATTGACAAATTAAAACATACCCTGTTCAGGTTAGGATAGGGCATTAAGCATAAGGGATAAAACACATGGATATTAATGATGGCATTCAGTGTTTTGTAGTAATGAAAAAATACATGCAGAAACAAGCAAGGCTGCCTCAAAACTGCATAAACGTTACTTGCTTTGTTACCCTTTGGCTGAGGGTCATAAACATTCACTATAAGCACCACTGATTAAATTCTAATGCAACAACTGACATGGTCCCAGCCCCAGCTTTCTAAAGCAACGTTCTTGTCTTCATTTTGAGTTACAGTTTTACAAGCAGATTGAGAAACACTTGCAAAATCTACCTTAAAGGTACTTGTATATCCTATTTCATCCATACGGCACATTTCAATGTGCCGTAAGGATGCTACATTTCAAACAGCAGCTGAAAGTGTATGTTTTATAGTCCTTTTGCAACAGCTACCGTATAATGAAATGCAACCGTTTAAAAAAACAAAAAACAAACAAAAAAACCCATTTGCTTTGGCATACGCATACATCTAGCGATGATTATGGCAGTACATCGACTTAGCGTCCTGTCTCAGCACTTCAGGCAAGAAATCTAAGCTTAATTGTGGTTATGTAAGAAACTTCCTGTTTAAAGCTAGTTCCAAGAGAAAAAAATATTTTTTATTTTACAGCATTTTAATTTGTTTCATGCTTGTTTTCACTGATATCAGTCTAATTACAAACAATGAAAAAGACACTCTTGCAGATTAGATGTATGTCATAAATAGAAGAAATGAAAATACAAGAAAAACACACATACAGTCTTTTGGAAAGATACTATTTAAATATGAACTGGATTTCTTACCATCCTCTAATTACCCTAAGTAATGCTCCAATTGGAAAGATCCAGGATGTGGTATCTAGCACATCAGAATGAATTTCTTGTTTACTTTTGTCGCCATGAATGTCGTAAATAATAATCTGAAACAACATACAGTGCATATGAATGAAGGCCCATTTCAACACACAGGGTAGGCAGCTCATTTTTGCTTGGAATAAAATCAATTTCATTTTGTGCTCACTCAACCAGTATCCTATACATTTCCTTCGTTTACGAAACACTCTGCTGAGCTTAAACAGCAGTTGCTGACACAGTAATACAGTAGGATTACCAGTGGCAGTATTTTTATATTCTTGTCTCATTTTATAATCTAATTTCTTTAGCAGGTGCAAGTATAGGCAGCATTAAAATAAAATCTAGTCTAACAACTTCAAATGCTTTCCATTTAAAATTTTTGATATGACAAATTATTCTATGTGTCTCATTGATCTATGTGATATATAAATTCTGCTTACCTTTCCTGGCCTTGGATTGTATTTGAGATTTGCCCTGTCAATGAAGTTCTGAAATTAAAACGATATGGAAAATTAACTATCAATAGCTACAACAGCAGCACACAATCTAGACACATTATTCTAGGTCCACTATTCCTTTAAAAGTGTGCCCCTGTCATTAGCAGAAACAACCAAGGTTTGTATCGCTGTCATTCAAAGCCGGCCTAAATATTTTAACAGAGTCAAACAATCAGCAGAAAGGAAGCTCTACATTGGAAGAACTTTTATGGAAGTTATCACCTCTGAAAATGTATTACTCATTTCCAGCAAAAAGAAAACTGCACATCTTAACAGCGGCAAAGCAATCCCCCCTCATACAGAAAGAAACATTACCCAATACCATGAAAAGATTTGCTTCTTCTGTTGCACATGGGGTCTACGCACTCTTTCTCATTTCTAAACTTCAGAAGGACATTTCCATCCCCTCATCTGTCCTTGCTTTAAATAAACTAAAAAAAAGGAATGCTAATGTATAGAAGGAGCTAGATTACTTATTTACTAACTAAGCTATAGCTGAATCAAATAGCCCAGTAAGCACATAACTATGTTCTTGGATAACACAGCTCTACCAATCTCAAAAGTGAAAGAAATGAAAGAGAATAACTGTCAATATAAAAGGCAACTCTGTGACTTTCAGGCTGAAATATCATTAACATGGACAAGTTTGTGTTTTGCTGTTACACATATTTGCCGTTGTATATGTTTTCTGTTACATTTTCTATTTATATACATCTCCTGTTTTACAATTCAAAGTTACCACTTCATCATTTTTAAAATGATTCTATCAGAAAACTTTCTTTTACTCTATGATCTAAAACAACTTAATTACATTTTTTAATGATAAAAGAATTAACCTTAAAAGGGGGGTGGTCACTTTGAACCTGGCCTAATCACTTTGACTATTAATACTATGTAACGTGACATCTTACCGCTGACAACTCTCCCAATTTTGGCAAGGCATAATCTTGGGACCAACGACTCTTCGGCTGCAATATATCCTGCAGAATGCTTCCAAATCTGGTTCCCTTCTCAGAGGAGCAATTTCTGGCGGACTGCAAATATTGATAATACACACTTGTAGAAGTACGCTTTACAGCAGCATTAACTTGCTGCAAAAATGGCTTAGAACGTATTTGACTGAGAGAAGCAGCGTCTGGAAACGGTTCTGGCTGCTCCATAGACTCTGGCTGTTCTTTTGAAAGAAGAGGTGATTGTTTAGGAAACAAAGACCTAATCTGGTCATTTGATTGAGAAGCTGTTTTTAAATCCCCTGTCCACTGACCGGAAACACTTTCTTCTTCTCTATCTGCATCAAGAATACTTTCTTCATAAGATGATTCTTCCTCCTCCTCCTCCACTTCCTCCTCCTCTTCACTAAGCTGAGTAGTAAACTGCAAGCGCTCAGAAACTGACTGGAGAAGGGACAGCACAGAAGAATGGTCAGTGTTATCTTTAGATAGTCCGCTAGGATGGCCTTCCGGTGACACATCTGTGGACAGCAGGTCTTCTTGGGAGCTGTCATCTTCATATATTGGAGAGAGTGAAAAAGGATATATTCTATAGCGCTTAGCCTCTACATTCAGAAATGCCTCCGAGCTACGTCTGTCCATTGCTTCATTCAATTTGTTATCCTTTTCGTAAGGATAGGCTGGCTCATGTTTATTCTTTGCTCTTTCACACATTAGAAGATGATCTATATTATCCAGTGGCAGATCAGAAGAACAGAGGGAGCTAGTCTGCACCTCATCAGTGGACACAGATTTGTTCTCAGTTTGAAGAGCAGCTTCATATATTATAGCAAAAGAACTGTTTTCCCACTGTTCAATTGGTGGAGAAAAGGCCAAAAGATTTGCTGATTCCTCCATGTCATTGCCGCAGTCCAGAACATTTTCTTCAGGCTGACCATCTCTTTGCATGCCTCCATTCTTCATTTGTATCTGTTTCAGATTCTCCTTATTTTGAGCAAAGACTGAGATGAAGCAAATTTTCCCTTCGCTGTCCTTTCCAATAACAGGCAATTCAGACGCAATGAACTGTGTATTTAATCCAATATCAACCTCTGTCTTCTCACTTGCCCCTTCTGCTAATTCTTCTTTATCCTCTGCCTTCAAGTCTGCTAAGGTTGCTCTTACTTTTGCAGGTACTTCTTCTGCAGCCTCCCTTTCACAGCGCTCATACAGACTTTTCTCTGCACTGCTTTCCAGAGAACCCCGAGGACGACTTTGGTCTTTGGATTCACTCTGCATGCTGGTATCTTCTTCATCAGGCACAAAAGATGACACACTAACATTTCTAGCTGGCTGCAATGTGCAGTCTGGCATATTTGTACTATTGCATGAATCTTTTAAGTACAATGGCAGAAACATCTCTTCAGCCACAGCAGCATCTCTATTTATCAAATGTAAAGACACATCAGATTTGCTACTAGTTGCTGATACTTTAGCTTTGCCACATGCCTCTGTTGCAGTCATATTTTCATACACCTTTTTAGTATGTCTCTCTTTTGCTGCTATCATAAGGTCAAATTCTGGCTTTGCTGAATTGCCAGTAGGTAGAAATCCATTTGTTTGATATGGAAATACATTATTTGGTATCATTTCACTTCTTTTTGGCCAAGGTACGCTATTTTCCATACTGTTTGGAAGCAAAGGAAGGTCTGAACAATCTGCTTTTTCAGCGCTTATAGTTACATTCTGAGTCTCCACCTTCCCTGTTGTTTCTTTGGTTAATTCCTGTATTTTGGCAGACAACTTAATATCCGGGTTTAAAATCTTTGGAGTTTCAGCCTTAGGGTTAGGCTCAAGCTTTTCAGAAGGCTTTCTACTCTCACTGCCTTGCCACTGACTGGATGCTAGTTTTTGTTTGGCTGAGTTAATAACTTCATCAACTATTTCTCTTGCTTTCAGTGTCAGTGAAAGGTCAATTTTATCAGGGATGTAAAAGGGAACCTGTTCATCTTGATTATTTGTATCAACTGTTTCCTTTTCTTTAAATGAAGATGAGCTTCCTGCATGGCTCTCATTAAACTGCTTTAATGATTGCACAGCTGACTGGATTTCTTCTCCTTCCAGCTGTACAGTTCCAGTTTTCTGACCATTTAGAATATCCAGATTTATTAAACTATCCTTGTTACCACAAACCTGGCAGACACCAACTGCTTGTTTTGCTATTATTTCTTCTATAGCAATGTGTAAAACTGACTCCACTATTTCCTCAGCTTTTTTAAACAAGAGAGCAGCATCTTGGAATTTACCATATTCTTGCCCTTCCATATCAGGATCTTTCAATATTTCCTCAGAACAGAGCTTATTTGAGTCTGTAAGTGAAACAGCTGCTTGATTACCGACTTCAGAAGGGGTTTCTGAGATAGTAGAAACATGACTATAAAGAGTCACCTCTTCCATGGTATTTCTGCTCACGTTCTCAGTACAGACTGGCTCAGATACTACTTCCAAAGATTTCAAAGGGCAGATGGGTGATCGTATTTTCTTTGCCAACACACAATCAGACTTTTGTGCAGTGGATGCATCCTCTGCTACATCATCAGGTCTATGATTAGGGGAATTATTACTCCCCTGGGCAACACTCAACCTTTCAAGGGCAGGAACAGAAAGGTGGCAGGTTTCTTTGGATGGTGAAGTAGGCCTAGGGATGCAAACACCCCACAGGTCTACTTTAGCAATAGAGTGATCGGGTTCAGCTATGGTAAAGTCAGATTCCAGAGAAACAGCTGGGCATGTAGCTCTCAGGTCCTCTCGGCAATGTAGCATCTTGGTCATCCCGTCCTCAGGGATAATTTTTCTCAACTCAGCAGCACAAAAAGTGTAGCTGGACTGGCCGTTCTGTTCAGCAGCAGCAGATGATTTGGCAGACCGGCCATTTTCAGAATTAGCGGCAGAAAGTGCTTTTCTCTGGTTGTCAGATGAAGAAATAAATACAGTAGGTGATATTGTAGGCTTACTACTGTTTTCATTTTTGGAAGAAACATTCATATCTCCATCTTCAGATCTAGGCGGAGATTCAGCAATGATGTCTACAAAAGGGCAATGGCTGGTCAAAGGCTTCCTTCTATACATCAAGTCAGAATGAGAAACCTCCAGAATTTTTTCTTGTGGCTTAGAAACATGAGAGGAAAATTCAGAGATGCAATCCTTAGACTGAGAAGGAACAAGAGCAGTCTCAGACATACCAGCCTTCTCCATTTTAGAAACAGCAGCAATAGCATCATCTGTCCTGTCAACGCTGATTAAAGGGCAAGGAGCAGTCTTTGCTGTGTTATTTTCTCTGGATGCAACTGATGTCTTGGTAGGAATGTTTTGAACAGTTTTAAGGGAAATGGCACCAAGCTCATGGACAGACACTGGATTTCCTGAGAGGCTCACAAGCGCAAGGGATTTGTTCTTCTCATCTTCAAGAACAGGGCAAGAAAGAGTTTCTCTTGCATCTTTTAAACTGGCTTTTCTTTCCCCTGTAGTTTCCTTTTCAGACTTGGAACCAGGAAGATTAGAGGCGGAGCAACAGTCTCCGGTTTCAAAAGATGACTCGTAAGAAACAGAGAGAGGTGCTATCAGCTCAAAGTCAGACTTCAGACTTTCACGCCCATGTATGAAAAAGGAGGCACTGTCAAGCTTTTTCACTGCAAACTCAGATAAAACCTTCATTGCTTCCACATCCTCAGTTTCTAGATAAGGTAAACCAGACTGCTCTGTGCTAGTATCCTTATCAACATCCACAAGGATTAACTGGTGATCACTTTGTACGTGCATTGTTTTCCCTAATTCACTCAGTTCTTCATTACTGGCTCCCCTGTTCATGACTGCGTCTTCATCATTTTTAACAGATGCCACTGGAGCAGTTGGATTACCTTTCGCTACACATTTATCTCCTTTGCACACCATGCTAAGCAAAGTAGGTATTTGTTCATTAAAAGGTAAATGCACAGCAGAAATACAGTTTTGTGGATTTTGCTCACTTCCTACAGCTGCCACAATTCTCTGTGCACCACTTTTTCTAGGATCGCAATCTTTATTTGCGCTATCTGTATGCTGTTGAACTGCAGCAGCACTGGAATGAAGCGTCTGGACATCCGATGCTAGCTCTGAACAACTCTTTGTTTGATGATTACAGCAATATTCGTCCTCTCTCAGTTGTAGTTCTTCGTTTACTGTCCTGCTTTTTGATTTGGGTGACTGTAAACAATCATTCTGCATTTTTTTTGCATACTCATTAGATGCTTTGCTACAGTGTATTTCTTTATCCATCTTAGAAGTAGCATTTTCATCTGTCTGAAGCTGAGCTTCTGTTTCTCTCAGCATTCCCACTTCTTTTCCCACTAAATGATTTGCAGGACTCATTATAAAGGAATCAGTGCTCTGGGAAGCAGGATTGATCAGGATCTCACTGTTCATACTAGGTGACAACAATGAATCTAGTGAATACGTCCTTTTCACCTTTGTTGTATCTAAAGCCGGTGCATGTTCTAAGTCTACTTCACTAGATGAATCAGTACATGAAGCTGAGGTATTTGTAGTTATTTCATGTTTACTGCTACCCAAGCAATGCGGAGCTTTACCAGACTTTTCCAGTTCCTTTCCAACGGTAGAAGAATTTACTGTGACATCATCTTCAGTATCCTTACCCTCATCTTTTCCATTTTCTTCTAATAAGTGTCCTGATTTTGAAGACGCTGTCGTTTGGATTTCTCCGTTTTCTTTGACAAAGGAAGCATTTCTGTTCTTGGTATTTTCTTCTCCTCTTTCAGCCATCTCTGAGTGATTCTTCAGTAGTTGCCTAATCCTTGCAGAACCTCGGTAAGTTGCATAGGTAACTGCAGGTGCTTCTGGTTTCCATTCCATCTGCCTGTAACAAGTATTATAATCAGCACAAGACAGAATATCTAAATAGCTAGTGTGCTAATTTTAAAAAAGATTAACATAAACTGTAGATTCAACATAATTCTATCTTCCTCCTTTTTCTGCTCTTTATACATATTGATTTGGGCAACAAATAATACATACGCTATCTTCTACTGAAAAGAGCCAACTTAGACTACAAGCAAAACTGTATGTTGCTATAAATGACTTCCATCATTCGCTTTCTACCAGACAATGGAATTATTATTTACAGATGCCACTGCAAGCCAACATTTTCAATGACAGAAATAAACATACTTTCATGAAGATGTTATACCCTATCAAATTATGCCTATATTTTAATATTGATTTTTTTTTAAATCCTACTAATGTTCATAAAAATATAGAACTGAAATTTGAATTCTTACCCAGACTCTCAACAAAGTAATAAGCAAGAGGACCAGGAGAAGCAAAGCACACATGGGAAAAAGAAAACACAACAGAGGATGCTTTCTGAACCGCAAAGTACTAAGAAAAGATAGTGAATGAAGATCAGGTAAGAAAGAAAACTATTTGAATATTAAAAGAAATATCCAAATGAAAAGCCTAGAAACACAGGAGGAATTGGTAGATCCAGTCAGTCATCAGTCTTAAATTTAGTAACAAAGCAAACTAATGCAAAAACTGAAAAACAAAAGAATCTCGATGGAAAAATCATGCTCCTGATCTTCACTGCTCTTTCTGGTGTACTCTGAATAAGTTCAGAGCCTATCACTAGCTTTCAATTTTCTAAAGGAGCAAAATCTCCTTTTTCTTAAAAGAAATAAATCTTCATCTTCCTTTCTAATGCTTCTTCCCTCCCCTTTTTTTGGTTAAAGAATACTTCCGAAAATAGAGCAATGATATTATGAATGTGAATGTTACCTTCTCGATTCTTCATCTTAGGGAAACACTGATCCTCAGACCGTGCAAAAACTCCATTTTGCAATAGTTCCCACCTAAACTAAGAACAAAACCTCTCAAACTCTTCTACGGTCTGACTTTGTGTCTGCTAAACTGTTGGCTGGAAGTGGCAGCTCGCCCTTCTGCAATTGTCATATTCTTTTCAGAAGAATCTCTTGAAAAATAAGATCAAGTTAGCTAAGATTTTGATTTCTAATATAAATGCACTGCAATAGGCAAAAAGCCATTTGATAATATTTTTGTAAGTTCTTTGCAGCTTACAGGTAGTTCACTTTTACTGAAAAGTTACTACAGATGCAGAGATGAAGACAAATAACTTAAAATAGCACATAAAGACCTTTCACTAAGGAAGACTCACCCAGCAAAATAGTTTTGTTTCTTTGAGAATCTTTGAGTAGCTACAACTTAATACATAGTCTGTATGGATTTGAGTGTATCCTCTCAGTAGGTACAGAAAAACATAACAAGGGAGTGCATTTATCATCTAAAATAGAATCTCTTTAGGTTTTAGAGGCATAGATTCTTATTTGAATATTAATTTTGTTTTAGAGTGGGGATTTAGTACTATTTACAATCATAGGTAAAGTCCCTCCTTGTGCAGTGTTTGGACATGCAAAGAGTACAACTGAACTACAAGCAAAATTATTCATACCCATAATATTAAAACAGAGATATAAACACTCATCTATATACTCATTTTACTTTGCCAGGTATATTTTTAGCATTAGCCCTGATGAAGCCTACAGCAGTATCTCAAAATAGGATTTATAAGCTAGTTATATTAAGTTAGAGAAGAAACAGGAAAGTCATGTGTAAACACCATGTCTCCCATGCATTTGCAAAGTTAGGTGCCTACGTTTAGTCTTTCCATACCACTGTTTCGGTTTCCAGAGATACCAGCAGTGGTAGCTGCTAAACATCACACACACCACTTGTTTAAGTTGCTATCTTCAGCATTCACATCTCTTCAAACAAACATACGCATTCCTCATCAGAAGAAAATAACGCAGTTGGACAAAGAGAGAGAGAGAAAAATAAACAATTTTAAAAAAAATTGAGTTAGATCATTTTCTACCTCTTCACAGAAAACTGTCATCTATATTGGGAAAACACTTTTCAAAACTCTAGAGATCCTAAAAATCCTAGAAGGAGGAAGGATTGGTCGAGTCCTACAGCACACTGTATTCACTTGGCATCAAAGTCACAGCAATAACAAAAACAGGTCTTAAGAATATGTAAGATCTGATCATGCTCTCCCTCAGAAGTACCCTTGCCAAGTAACCGCTCCTATTACAGTGGAGTTGCAATAGGGTCAAAACGTTCTAAATAATCAGAAGGTTACACTGTCAAGCTTTTACAAAATCCACCAGTTTGCCCATACTTTGGTCAATCTCAAAAATGAAAGTCAGCCTACAACTGTCCTGAACAAAGATAACATCTATTTTAAGAAAACGAAGAGAATACTGCATGTTCCAAATACAGAGCAAACAGAAAACAATGCAGAATACAACACCAGTTCTCCACACAAGCTTTATGGACTCTTGAAAAGGAAAGCAGTAATATCAGGTGTTTAAAGAGAACACAGTAACGGCATGGCGAGGTACTGAGCGCCTGTTTCCACCACAAACAAAGCAGTATTTTGAATAAACTGCTTGATCACAATTAACTTGCACAGAACATCTTTCATTCTGCAGTTGAGACTTTCTCTGATAGGCAGCAGGAAGAATTCAGAATTTATCTATAAACATATGCCAAGAACTGATGTTCTAACACATGCTTGGAAAATACCTTTCTGTTTTTGTTTCCTGTGCTCAATTTTGCTTTCAGATTTCTCCCATGAACTCAATAATTCATAAACCCCAGGGCATCCAGAAATGGGATAAATAGGTTAATTTTATTGACTATTGCCTTCAGAGGGAAGGAAAGCAGAACCCGGCATGACACGGTGCTCTATTTACTCTGATTTGAGGCACTAATCCCAATTAAGACTCGTACCACTTATTATACGCTCTCAGGCAAAACAAATACAGAGTTTTTTTTCCCTTGCCTGCATGTGCCTTTTATCCTTTCTTCCAATTCTTTTACTCTCCTTTTGTCTTCTGAGTGACTTTTATGCTCCAATTGATCAATTTGTAGTTGAAGTCTGAGCAAGGCTCAGAAAAATCTGCCCTACAGAGCTCTGTGCACAAACCCGACCCTGACTAGCAGCATCTGCAGCTGGTTGCGGAGCCAGTAAAATACGTTTAACAGAGGATGGGGAAGGAAGGACCTCTGTGTTTCTATGGGCCTAACAAGTGAGAAGATTCCAATTTCAGTCCTATTTAGCCCAATCTGCAAGCCAAGCAAGCATTTAAAATTCAAGTCTCTTGAGGTTAAAGGCTGAGGCCTTAATATCCCTTAGTCCTCCAGTCCTGACATTGTTTTCTAGCAGTGTCAAGGGCCAAAACTACCATGGCGGAGACCGTTGTTTGTGCTGCTTGTTGAATGACGCTCTTACTCAGAGATGGGTTACTTATACCCTAGAGAGACTCTTTCCTTTGCGAACAATCTTCCTCCCCTTCACAAAGCTGGGCTTCACTACATCCCTCCTGTCCTTTTTTCCCAAATGAACATACCCTCCATTGCCTCAATTCCTCTGCTCACGAACCCGACACTATTTTCTCCCAGAGGATGCTACTTTCTTCAGCAATTAGTCACGGTATGCCAGTAACAGCTTATCCCAGGAGAAGGCCTCATCCTGTAGCTGTACTCAGTCAGTGTCTCCTACCACACAGCTCTGCTATCCTACAGACTTGACTCTACCAAGAATTTCTTTTAAAAAGGAACCGACCTCTCCACTGCAGACAGGGCAATCGAGGGATCTGCTGATCTTTGACCAAGAATCTGCTGCTCAGAATATTTTATAAAGTTTTTGCCAAAAGGCCTTTTATTCTCAGCGCCTTTCTTTCTAGAGCATGTGGAGATGTCTGAAATCTGAACAACGCACAGACAATAGTAAGATGTTTAAAAAATGAAAAACCATGTTCCCATGCTACAGCTGAACTCAGCTGGCTTGCTCCAAATCTTGCCGTAAGTCTTATGAAACACGTTTAGAAGCTTATATTTCCTTCTCCAGGCTGTGTCACACAAAATCTTTTAAAATTGTCACTAGAGACTTGTTTCATAGACATTTAACGTAACAGTTCACCTCTGATCATCAAAAGACTATGTCATTTCACAACTTACCTTAAAAACTCTTTGCACAGAATTTTCTTTACAGTTCATGTGAGGATATAGATGAAAGCCTGATTAACTCATGTGCAGTTCTGCCTCATATTTCAAATACTGGGAGATTCCTTCTTTCCTTTCTTCATGGGAGGCTATTCAATTCCCTACAAAGCCTAAATTCAGTTTCACAAAAGACAGCTTGACAGCAACAAGAGAAGATGTCAACACAAATTACTTTAAATTTGTCAAGAGTAGGTGCCTGTAGTGGTTTCTTCTATTCCAGAAGAAAAAAAACCTATAAACTAAAAAGTTCAGAGAAGGCTAAGCCGAGTAGGAGAGGAGGCCATCTACTGACACATCTCATGTGACAGACATCTGTGTAACTTACATAAAAAGCGGCATTAGGGCATAAAACAAGCTTGTGAGTTTTGGAGCCCTGAAGCAGGACAAATTTGACTACTTTGAATGCCTCATTTCAATGCATCCATAAAGCCTACCATTATTTGCATCTTTTTCAAGGGGATGTTACCAAGATGGCGGCCCCTCCAAATCTCTATATTTATACTATATAATAAAGCAGATTGCAGATATCCTGAGACTACTTCCCAGTAGATCCAGGAGGATCATTCAGCATGATACAATGCTACATGGATATAGCACCCCAGATCCCCACAGCTGCATTTGCACAGCACGGCACCCAGGCTAGAAAGCCCTTACACCTACCATCACTGCCTGGCTTCGGGCTTCCTAGCTCATGCTGAGCACTGTGTAAGCAGGAGTGCACAGCTCCTGGAAAGGTGGGCTTAGTTCCTTCTGCAGCACACAACACTTGGCTCT